CAACGAAGATTCCAACTTGTTTACGTTCTAGATAGGTGCTCTTCAAGCGTCAGCTCATCCATCATGTTAACAGCTTCGTTCACAGTATTGATATTTTGATTAATTTGATCCACCAAAGCATCCTCGTCCTCCTCTATGGATTTTTTATTCAATCGCATCCCAAACTTAGTAGCCTAACTGCACATAATCATCCCAACAATGGCACTTCACATCTCTTCACATGGCTAGATCTTTCCCTTCCTCTTCTCCTCCTCCATGTTAGGATACATGTGTGAGTGAGTTGTGTTAGAAAAATCCCACATCAAAGAATCGGTGTGGTATAAAGCAGTTAATTTATCGTAGTTGACCCATAACTCATAGGCTTAAACTTTTGAATGAAGGTAGATCCAACTAGATATATTGACGGGCTCGAACTTGGGCTCTCTTTTAGTGATCTCTCCAAGCGAAAGGTATCGAGCTTCTGCTGTTCACTCTCATAACAAATTAGGCTCTGACCCAGGTCCGATGTGTGAGGGAGAGATTGTGTGCTTATAAGTATGAGGAAAAATCTTACCCTTTGAGCTAACTTTTGGGGTAAGAGAGGCCCAAGAACACCCAACAATGGTATCAGAGCCGATGGTTGCGGTTTCCGGGCAGGTGGGCGTTGTAGTGTAGCAACGCAGGCCCGTAGAGATGAAGTTGGGCGTTGATGGAGATTCAACTTGAGATAAAGTTGATGCAGAAGGATACGTGAAGAAGTTTAGAATGCTTTCTTGCCTGGCACTCTTAATGAAGAAGTTTATATGGAGCAACCTTTGGGGTTTCTTGCTCAGAGGGAGTCTGAGGGACTAGTTTGCAAATTAAAAAAGTCTTTATATGGTTTGAAGTAATCCCCACGGGCGTGGTTTGGAAGGTTTTCTGAGGCTGTACTTTCTTTTGGACGGTCTAGATGTGGAAATGATCACTCTTTCTTTTATAAATAGTCAAGGGGAGGCAAACTATTCTTGATTGTGTATGTTGATGATATCATTATCACATGAGATGATTTGGTTGGTATAGCTGAACTAAAAGTCTATCTTCAGCAACAGTTTCAGACAAAGGACTTAGAAAAGTTGAAGTATTTCCTAAGAATTGAAGTTGCACAATCACAGAAAGGTATTGTTTTGTCATAGCGAAAATATTTTCTAGATTTGCTTACCGAGACGAGTATGTTGGGATCAAAGCCTCTTGATTCACCTATGGAACAATGGGTTAAACTGGCTGCTAAGGAAGGAGAAATTCTTGATAATCCCAAAAGATATAGAAGACTGGTAGGTAAGCTAAATTATCTCATAGTTACTCAACCAAACATTGCCTTTTCAGTCAATATGGTAAGCCAGTTTTTGTCTTCCCCCGTACATCTCACTAGGATGCAATTATCCGGATATTGAGATACTTGAAAAGACTCCAAGGAAATGAATTGTTTACCAAAACCATGGTCATAGCAGAGTTGAAGAATTTTCAGATGCTGATTGGACAGGATCTCCAAATGATAGGAGGTCAACTATTAGCTATTGTACCTTGGTTGGAGGAAATCCGGTATCATGGAAGAGTAAGAAACAGAGTGTTGTTGCCCGCTCCAATGCTAAATCAGAATATAGAGCCATGGCACAAGTGACATGTGAATTAGTGTGCATTCAATAGTTATTGACTGAGTTAAGCTTAATGCTTCAGTACCCATGACTCTATGGTGTAATAATAAAGGTGTAGTGCATATAGCTTCCACCCGTGTTTCATGAGAGAATAAAACACATTGAGATTGACTGTCATTTTATTCGAGAGAAGTTGCACAATGGATTGATCCTTCCCAGTCACATTCGAACCGGTGAACAACTTGTAGACATGTTTACTAAATCTCTGGATAATGGGAGGATAGATTATATTTGTAAGGGTTAATACCACGAAAAACCCTGAACTGGTACGTTTGTGACAGATTTACCCCAAACTATTTTTTTGACCATAAAAAACCCCAAACTGGTACATCTGTGACAATTTTACCCCGAACTATTTTTTTTGACCACTAAAAACCTCAAACTGGTACACCTGTGACAATTTTACCCCGAACTATTTTTTTGACCACCAAAAACCCCAAACTGGTACACCTGTGACAATTTTACCCCGAACTAATTTTTTAATATTATTTTTTTTATTTTTCGAATTTTTTTAGTTTTTCTTTTCTTTTCTTTTTCTTTTCCTTTTCTTTTTTTCTTTCCTTCATCTTCATTGGACCAACAATGGATTGTTATATTGTAATTGATACCACAATAACGTGACACGCAACATAAATGCTACATTTTGACCCAAAAAAAAAACATAAACGCTAAATGAAAGACTTTCGTTTATATACATGAATTTTCATGCCACCAACTTTTTTCTACATTTAAATGTCTCGCGAAAAAGGCATTATATTGTTATCGTGTCTTTCTTATTTTTGGGTGCAAGTGGATAGGCAAACTGTTGGGGTCCAACGTAGGCTTGTTACCTAAGCTTGGAGTATAGCTAATCAACAATTTCTATACGTCTTGCTTGCCAATTTAATTTAACAGATTAATTTACAAAATTAGTATATTTTATATATAAGATGAGAGATATTATATGTGCATGGCGATTCATAAATCAATATGATCACTTGAAATATATAATAAATAAAACGTGAGACATTTGAATGTAGAAAAAAGTGGTTGTCATGAAAATTCATGCATATAAAAGAAAGTCTTTCATTTAGCGTTTATGTTTTTTTTTTGGGTCAAAATGTAGCATTTATGTTACGTGTCACGTTATTGTGGTATCAATTACAATATAACAATCCATTGTTGGTCCAATGAAGATGAAGGAAAAAAAAAAAGAAAAGGAAAGGAAAAAGAAAAGAAAAGAAAAACTAAAAAAATTCGAAAAAAAAAAAAATAATATTAAAAAATTAGTTCGGGGTAAAATTGTCACAGGTGTACCAGTTTGGGGTTTTTGGTGGTCAAAAAAATAGTTCGGGGTAAAATTGTCACAGGTGTACCAGTTTGGGGTTTTTGGTGGTCAAAAAAATAGTTCGGGGTAAAATTGTCACAGATGTACCAGTTTAGGATTTTTTATGGTCAAAAAAATAGCTTGGGGTAAATCTGTCACAAGTGTACCAGTTTAGAATTTTTCGTGGTATTAACCCTATTTGTAATAAGCTGGGCATGATTAATATATATGATGCAGCTTGTGGGGAAGTGTTAGAAGTATAAAGGGTAAAGTTGTCTTTAGGACCTTTAGGGTTTATTTTGATGTATATATTGAACTTTATTGGATAACACAACTTCACTTTTTCCTCTCACAGGTTTGAACTTTAAGTTAAGGCGGATCCAACTGGAAATGTTGACGTCATCGAACTTAGGCTCCCTCTTGGCGATCTCCAAGCAAACTTCCTCAACTCCCTCCAGTAACTGTCGTACTCAACAAAGGCGATGTAGGGGAGTGATGGAGGCCCTGTCGGCTTTGTTTTTGTTGTTGAAGTTTTACACCGAGAGGAGGCAGAAGAGGAGGAGAGGAAGGGAAAGAGCAACCTTCGTCAAGAGGATGCGAAAGGCCATTGTTGGGATTGTTATGTGCAATTAGGACATAACTATCTCTGTCGAGTTTATTTACACAATTTTAGAGCTAATTCCAAAGAAAAGCACAAACTTTAGGTCGAGTGACAATCTGGCCCCAACTTTTTTTTGTCTCGTAAAAAATCATCAACTTTCCCAGTATCCCAAATCTGATCCTCCTATTGGCTCTTTGTATGAAGTAACCCTTGTTTGAGAAAAAAGGTTTTGATCGTGATCTTGGCGGATCTCGTCCATGGCGTTTCTCGACGGGCGATGGTCTACAACTTTAGATTATGACAAAACAGCGGAGTCTGGCCGGAAATATTCAATCTGGAGATTTTTCTGACTTGCCAATGAAGTGAAGAAGAGATTAACAGTTTCTAAATCAACGAGGATCAGATTTGGGATTTAAGTGAAAATTGGTTATTTTTTATGAGACAAAAAAAAAAGTTTGGAGCAGAATTGTCACTCAACCTTAAATTTGTATTGGAATTAGTCCTACAATATTTTTTGTTTGTGTATACAAGTGCCCCTAAGATTGGAGCGAAATGCGTTCATTGGCCAATCTTTCTTTATCACTGGCAATCCGGTAGGGGAGCTTTTGATGCACATTTGTCAATAAAAGGACTCGTGACCCAAATTCACTTCTTCTAATTGGAATTTTCTTTTTATAATTGGACAAATTTATTGATTTCTAAGTCAGATTGTGAAATCATGTCCTACAATTTCGAGGTTTCTCAAATTGGCCATTCTAATGGCGATGTAATTATTCAAACACATTATTGATTGCTCAACCGAGAAAACAGGACATTTTGGAGAGCTGCATAAGAATTATCATCACTCACAGTAATATTTACATCCTTTCTAAATCTCTTTCACGTGAAAATGCTATGTGTGTATTTTGCACGAATGCTTAAACGTACTCAACACTTAGGAGATGTTTTCTAGGGGAGTATGAATAAGCTCAGCCGATGAATTCAGTGCAACATGTTCTTTTCAAGAGCTTTTGAAAGCTTCTCACCTCTGCAATGCAGAATTGTAGGTAACAGAGGACGTCAATTTTTTACAGGATAAAGGTGACTTTGGGTAACACCAAAGTCCAGTGATTGAGCCTTTGATTTCGAAAATCGACAGTTATGGATTAACGACTGTTAAATCGATATTTTGTCCTCATGTTTCCGTTTTTCGGCCATAACAGCACGTTTGGCCACAAAAAGAACCATAATATAGCATGCTTTGCATGTTCCTCCTTTAGTAGGCCATAAAAGCAAGTCAACCCGTTTTTATTACCATGGTGATAAGAGTTTGCCACGTCATTTGATATATCACTATGAAATGGAAAAAGAGAATGTACACACTACCGAAATGGCAAAAAGAATGTACACACTACCGATGCACATGGAAGCATCTGCCTTCCTGTTTCCTCTAGACAATAACTTCACTATAAACAACACCAAACAGAGACAAAAGGCCAGTGTTTTGTAATGTTCTAAACATACACACTGAGATCATTCATGAAGACATGCCATAGTCTCCAGTAGTAATTATAACACAAGCAGGTATTAGCCAATAGATGACAAAATTGAGATATTATGCTTCCAGGATCTGTATATCGATTTACATATAATGGTCAAGATGTTGCTATCCTTTTCTAACTTGAAAGGTTCGGTTCAAAACCGGTCCTACCTTGCTTTCGACAATTGAATGGCTTCAAGTTGAGTGGTGTCTTCAGCCCAAGGGAAAGGGTGAGACGTGAACAAGGATTGCTTGCTCCTTTCCTCTTCATGTCGTTCCCACCGAGCCCATCTCTCTGATAGACCAACCCCTTGAAGCATATTTACAACTTCTGCCATTGTGGGACGGTCTTCGGGGTTCCCTTGTGTGCAAAGCAATGCCACCTGGATGATGGTCTCGACTTCTTCCACATCATACATCAACAGATTGCGATCTACCATGTCTTGGAGCCTGTTTTCTCTCAGCAGCTTCTTGCTCTGTCAAAATCACAACTTCAATTATTCTCTTTGAGATCATTCTGGTCATAGAAGCAGAGGAAACAACTAAAATTAATATAGGTCCAATTTCCACTTATCTACATGATGCAAATTGGTTCTCAATTCTCACAAAGAAATGTGAAGAAAATCTATCAATATGCTAATTCAAACTACAGAAATTCAGCCAGGAACCGCTCCATTCAATAAGCAATCTAGCAAACACTTCCCGATTGCAGTAACTCTTGCGTAGGGTACAACACTGGTTGCAAAATTTTATGCTAAGCCAGGTCTTGTGATCTGATATTCCACTTTTAAACTAGTCTTGATATTTCTACCTTCGAGGTCTTACAAAATATGTCTGATGCGATCCCTTTCAGCATTCAACATGGCATGTCTTCATCAGAAAATAAAAGGAATCTGAGCCTACATTGGAACAGTTTTGTACCATTTATACAGCACAGACACAGATGATTGACTGATATTTTAGGCAGTACAAATCTTGAAACTTCTAAAATATGACCTGCCTAGGTACTTTATCCAGTTCCACGAAAAAATAATATTTTGGCTGGACAATAAGGGCTCTGTTCTGCACCAATCATTCGGTGAACCTTAATATCTGCTCATTCTTGCCAAAATCAGTTCTCTACCTCCTTCAGGATTTTCAAGTGTTTAATTCGAAAAGTGATAAAACGAACGTCGTGTATCTGCCATTTCTTCCCCATTTTACTGTGTCAATTGGATTTCAGCAAAGAAGATTGAGGAAAATCTGCAAAAAGAAATCTTACGTGATCAAGCAAAAGAACATCATCCTCCTCCTCAAGCCGAGAAAAGTCAATCGCGCGCTGACCAGTTACAAGTTCAAGAAGTGTTATACCATAGCCAAAAACATCCGTCTTCTCTGATGACTTTCCAGTGGACAAGTACTCTGGAGCAATGTGACCCATTGTACCTCTTATTTGTGTAGTAACTTGAGTCACTCTTGTATCAACCAGCTTAGCCAGCCCAAAATCACCAAGAACGGCTTCGAAATCATCATCCAAGAGGATATTGGCAGCTTTTAGATCGCGATGTATAATTTTAGGATTACAATGTTCATGAAGATACTCCAGGCCATGAGCTGCTCCAAAAGCTATGCGCTTCCTCGTTGGCCAGTCCAACCCTTTCTCTCCTGGTTTTAAATCTGTCACGTTCATTGAGTACAGTACATAGTAAGAGAGTGCGGCCAAATATGAACTGTGTTAATAGATTATGCTGATTGTTTTTGGAAAGGACTGCTAGTAGTTGTTCCAAAAATCTAACATGCATCAAGTGTGGGGGTATTCGTGCTTTAGATTATAAGATAAGAGCGAAACACACCATGTTTATTAAGGAAAAATTACATCTTCCTCAGATGAATCTATCATTATCTCAAGATGCTCAGATATGGTCAATTGCTAGTGTATGCCTCGTAATCTGTATAATGGACACTTGCTTTCAATGTCTGATTCTTCAAGGTTTGCTACTTTCCTATAGCCTACGTAAGATATATGACCCCACAACCATGGGAAACTATGACAATAACATATTCAATTTCTGCGGATGAAACACCTCCAGTTTACGTTCTTGTGACATGATGTATGAAAAAGAATTAAGCAGTCCCATTAGCTTACATGCAGGATAGACAAATAAAATCAACATTCAACACCTGGCGAGGAAATCCAGAAAGACGGTAGAAAGTGTGTCATATCATGTTGATGGTCATAGAAAGTGACAGCAGAAGGGTTTGCAAGTTGCAACAGAAGTAGTAGAGTATTTTTTTGTGGCCCATCATAGTCTCGAAGATACCATTGAGAGAGAGTGGCTGTCTTAACTAAGGTACCTAAGAAATCTACTAGTGATATATATTCTCATTGGAGTTACGAGTGCTTTCTCTAAAAGAAGATTCAGTAACTACAAACGTGACCTATTCAAATATATCTTAGTCATTCGATTCTTCTCGTTCCCATATTATTAGACATGTCAGACTATTAAAAAAAGAGTAGGGGTACTTGATGCAGCTATGCCATACACCTAATTTCACACTTATCTTTAATAGAAGATCCCTCGCATCCTTGGTACTGTCCCACACATATCAGACAATAAAGTGAAAATTGGCAGCCTCAAAAAATCTATCCAGAGAAGTAAGCCCACAAACATTGCCTAATCTCTCTACTACAAAATTTCAGGACCTCATAAGGACTTCGAGGGACAGTAGAATAAGTCTTGGAGAAGTACCTCTCAGGTGGTATGCAGCGCTCAGATTCTTCATGTAGGGATAAACAAGTATCCTTTCAGAAGAGGTTGTACAGAAACCAATCAAACGAAGAAGGTTACGGTGAACTGCAACGCTTATAAGATCAACTTCCCTCAGGAATGCAGCCTCTCCACCAGGACTGTTATGATCGGAGAGTCTTTTAACAGCAACCTTTGTACTGTCCGAGAGAACACCTCTGTAAACTTTGCCAAAGCCTCCTTGTCCAATTACGTTGTTTTCACTGAAATTATCGGTAGCGAGTTCAATTTCACGCCAAGAAAATCTCCTCACTTGAGCAAAAGAAATTTTTCGGTCATCTTCACCTGGACAGTTGGAACTGCTAGTCAGTAATTTACATTAAGATACCAAAAGTATATATACTCTCATGTATCAGCCACAAGCTTCATAATAAGGAAGATACAGAAAACCAATGAGCTCCTTGCAGAGCTCATTCCTCATGAAAGTATACTTGAGCCCATTTCCATAACAGAGAAAAATGAAAGCATGGAAGACTCGAAGATGCTTTCACGCGGCCCAAGCCCTTTAAAGCACCCCCTTCATTTTAATTTCTTGCTGTTTAATATTTATAACAGTGTGATGGTTCCAGGATAATAGTTCAAAAATCAGTGAATAGCATCAAAGGAAACTTTCATCTGAACAGAAGATGACACTATTCGAAGCTCTAGAGATTTCAACTCCTACTGAAGACAAAAGTATTCGTCTCCTTACTATCATGCTCCACTTTTTACCTTAATCCACCTTCCCATTTACCATGAATAAAGAAAGGCACAGAGTGATTCCCATATACAATAATTACCATCTAATTCAGCGCACATTTATGGGATTTTTTCTCTCTAAAGATGGGATTTCCTCTCTCATTTTTATCTCTCATCTTATTTATCTAAGTTTCCTTCCTTCCCTTTATCCAGTTTTTCTCACCAATTATATCACATCACGGGGTCCTAAACTCAGCATCCTTGTGTTGAATAACAGTAATCGACCTCTCTCCAAGTGCTTTCAGAATACATATGCAAATTGCAACTGGAGACAAAAGTGGTTTAAAACCTAAAACTAGGAATCATGTAGCCTTAAAGGGGAGTTTGAACAAAAATATACATTTATTTGCATTGAACACTATCTGCAGAAAGAAATCAAAATACGAGATTTGCACAGCCTTTAGAAAGACATCATCAGACATTTTTCTCAAATTTCTGTCTGTTATTTTACTCAACTCTCTTATCTAATTCAACTGCCGAATCTAACAGCTTTAAACCAAAAGGGAAGAAATTGGTAAAATTTACAAACAAGAACGGATTAATTGGAAAAGATCCCATCGATTATGGGATGGCCTGAGACATACTCAATCAGGCAGTGAAAAGACTCAGGCATGATATGAGATATCAAGGTAAAGCAAAAAAATACCTGCTACATCCACAAACAGGTCATGTTTGGACTTGTGCATTTGATGGCACCAGTATGCAAAGATAGCCCCCAGACACAAAAGTGTGAATGCACCACAACCGGCAGAAGCTACAGCAACTCCAAGTTTCGACTTGCCACTTGAAGCTGCCAATTGTTCTGAATCAGATTCTAAGCTACCAATTTATTAGCAGAATAAAATAAAAAATATAACAATGAAAGCCACAACCTGAAAGTGGTGACTTTACACAAGGTTGACCCAAGCTAGAGCCACAAATGAGATTTGTTCCGGTGAAACTGACAAGAAAGATCAAGTTAGCTGACTTAAACATCAAACATATCTCAAATAATCACAGCATTCGAGCATAAAATTACGAGTCTGATGTGAAGCAATGCAATGCCGATTATCTACCCTATCTGTCTTAATCTGACTTTATATGGTAACTAATTTATGTAAATAGTGGAGCTCATTTTTAGGTTAAAATAAGATATTACTTTTAACGGACATAAAAGTTAAAAAGTCTTCCTTACCAAAAAAAAAAAAAAGTTAAAAAGTCTAGTGGATCTTACTTGTATGTTGGAACCGAGAAGAGTTGCGTGGGGATCTTTCCCGTCAAGTTATTGGACGAAAGATCCCTATTGAACCAAAGATAAGGTCAGTGATATCAAAGACATTTCCAGCAGATAAGGTTCAAATAATAAAATGAAGGTTAGACTTCGGTCAATCCTGTAATATTTGCAAAGGTGTCAGGAATGGTTCCAGATATATGATTTTCACTTAATATCCTCGATCGAAGGTGATATAAGCTGGTTCTTGTCATTTAATCTTAAAGCGATAACGGTAAATGAGAAATTCCAATTTGGAAGTTTCTACATCACAATTATGTCATAATATCTTCCTAGGAACATCAAATTAACATGTGAAGGTTATTCATTTTCCATGGATAGAATTAAGTAATGGCATTTATCTTTGGGAAAGACACCTTACAAATGCTTTAGATTGGAAAGTTGACCCCAAGAGGCAGGTATAGTTCCATTGAACTTGTTATTTGCTAGATTTAGATTCTGTAGGTACACCATGTTACTCAGGAAATCGGGTAGCACATCTGACAGGTTATTGTTCTGTAGTGCCCTGCAGGAAGCATAAAATTTACTATCAATACAAGCACATCCCTTATTTAGGGAAAGAAAAGGCTGGATAACGAGTTCAAAAATAACTAAATACTAAAATTAAAAAATATAGGCAGTGTTGTCCATCAAGGATCACTTACAAGTTGACCAAATACTTTAGCTTGGTAATTGCAGGAGAGAGAGTTCCTGAAAATCCAATTGAGTCGAGGCTCCTGCCAATCAGAAAGTTAATCACAGATTTAGATGTGCTAATCTGCATTTTCACCTGGCAATGTAATGAAATAGGAAGGACTTTCAAACTCAGATTGGTGGTACCCTTTATGTTGAACTTACAGTGTATTGACATGTCCATATAGACAGCTGACATGTGACCAACTGAAGCATGGGCTCACAAGGTGGTTATCCCAATGCACCTGAGAATTAGTATCATTGAGGCATTTCAGGACTTCAATGAGAGCCTCACCTGAGAATTAACAAAAGCAGACATATGATAAGAGAGTTTGTTCAGTTGTTACTACCACAGAAAGCAAATGATAACGATTTCCTCATTTCATGAAGAAAAGAAGTATCTCATTTTCAGTTTTTAGAGTTACTAAATACAGCAAGAAGATCGTTTCTGTAGTGACAAAGGCTGATTCCTTTCATAGTATGTACAGCACAAATTAGATCTTTCAGCATGAACATTTTCACTAAATGCGCCAGAATCAGTGAGCTGTTGAGTTAATCTCTGGTAAATCAGAAGTGGCAGCAGGTAAGCACCTATGAGGTACACCGAGAGAAAAAACTATGTATTCTGTCAATATAAATCGTCCCCTAAGACTTTCCTAGAATAAGTTTATAGCTTTACATAGGTGAAAGAGAGCAAGAAGACTTTAATTGTACCTTCAATGTCGGGTTCATGGGATGAATAGCTGTCTGTTAACAAGATGAGGATCATAAAAGAGAAAATGATTTGCTTCAAATAAGCATGACCATTGAGAAAAGTTCCACACATATGATGGCCTTTAGCTTCCAAACTTTCAGCCGGTAACTTCTTGTCTCCTTTTGATATTTCTAAACAGAAGAAAATATGCCACGGTTATGCTAAAACATCAACTATATATACAATATGCAAGTGTCATTCCACCTTACACAAAATCAAAATAAGAAAACTTGCTACTGCGTATGTAAACGAAACAACTATTGCATGTACCTCAGCACGGTGCCAAGAGAAAATTCCCACTTCTTTCATATTACTCTTACCAGATGAGAAACCACAAAAAATGAACTGTTTTTATTAGGAATGCTATATTTTGGTACAAGACATTTTAATCAAGTGATTCATATTGCGGCACCCTCCTGATGAGATTTTTTCAATTGATATGTTGCATAAACTGGAATCCTGAACTCTCAGGGACCCAAATATTTCTGAAAAACACTTAGAAATGAAAATTGTACCCTCGCTCTCACCTACGAATCAACATCAAGGCCTGTAGGTAAATATGGCATTATTTTCTCCGGAGACATGTTCCTAATGCTTCATCTAAACCTTTCATTCATCAACTAGTAGTAAACACGGTATTGACATAAAACAACATAACGAAGGCTTTCCAAGGTATCTCTCTAAGAGTAAGCAGATTGCTTCGAAGGAACTGCCCTGTGTGGCCAGTTTTTTCATTCCCTCGTGTGATGTACTCCATTCAAAAATGTGATGACTGATATGAACATGGAGACCACATGGACCATCTATCGGCTCTCCATACCATGATTCCTTCCTGATATGAATGGTTCATTATTTTTATAGTGACTCCATGGCGTCAAGACCAGTCATTTTATGAAGAATGTTGACAACTATTTTTTGTTGAATAAAAAAAGAGAAGAAGCAGGTCGTTCTGATACTTCACACGCTATCATGGATCATCTAACTGAACCAGAATCATGTTTACAGCAATCGTTAAGCTCATAAGTCGTGAAAGTCGATGCAATACAATCAATAGGAACCTTTATCCTGCAGCTACACGTACTCTCAGAGCCGCGACACGTACTCACTGAGGATGCAATAATAAGGACAAGCAACAACGACTCAAGAAGCATCCTGGATAATCAGAAATATTTCTTTAAGGAAAAACTTTAATTTAGGGGGCAAAGAAAAGAACCCATGGAAGAGGAAGAAGTGCTAACTATCAGGACAAAACCAGTTACTCACAATCAAACAAGTTTCCACTTTGCGCACACAAGCAAGTTGGCAATGATGATTAGTAACAAAAGAAGAAGAACAAGAACCCAAAATGAAATATTAATCAGAAGAGAACAAAAAACAAAAGGAAAGTCCCAAACTTGCCTGATACACCCATGACTTTAGTAACCCAGCATGTATCAAGATGAGGTAGCGGAGTGAGGAGATGAAGGAGAAAATGGTGCATATTATAATCACCATGATGACAATGGAAATCATGTGATTTAGTGCAAGGGAAAGGGACCCACAAAGCATATGAGGGCAAAGGTAAAAGAAAAGGAGAAGGACTGGGGAGGAATTGAAAGGAGGGCCAATTTGGCAAAAGAACAGAGAATAAGCAAAGCTAATTCTCTTTGATCAAATTGGGTGGTGGAATTGCGAATGAGAATCCCACTACCTAATGGGCCTCTCTCTCTGCTCTGCTTTTAGTGCTGTAATAATTGCAATTAAAGATTCACATTATCCTTTTGCATTTGCTTTTTTGCAATGCAGATGCTGAGAGAGAGAGAAAGATGAATAGACCTCACAGAAGCTTCCCATTCCCAGTAACCCACTTAGATAATTCTTATTCCCTGCTTTGCTGACTGGGGATAATACAAGAGAATGCATTGTCCAGACTCAGAGAAATCAATCACGTATCTATACATGATGAAATTTACACAAGGTCCCGAGAAAAATTACTTTTGATGTATTTTCTACACTGTGAATTTGGTACTACTCTTAATCCTCCACAAAATAATCTCATCCAATTCTTTTTCAAGCTAAATGTTTAACTTATTACACGCATTGAAATTTTAGAATATTCTTACATCGATGGCGGATAAAAATAATCTAAAACCGGTAAAGATGTTGTCTTTACGGGTCAAAAAGGAGAAACATGGGCGACATAAGGGAAGAGAGACTGTCCAGAATAAGGACATGGAATGAAAGTAGTGGTGCTGCCACCTGATTTGCGCTTTGAACGACCAAGTGCGGCGGGAGACAACACCACCACCATAACGTACTTTGCATGAAAAGACCGCTCCATTATTGTCACTTGTTGTATTGTTTCTGTGACATGATTTCCCAGTTTGACCAAACACCGCTTTTGGTCATCTTAATGTTGTTTGCAAAGTCGACCTTATCTCAACTTCTGCTGCTGAAAATCACAGGCAAGCAGATGATCATTAGGTAAGTGGATCAGTGTGATAAAAGGTCTCGTATACCTTTAAACCCCAGCAAGGTGGCCAAGAGAAATTGAGTCACGAGAATAGGGATGAGATAACCTGCGAGGTAATTGAGACTGTTGTTCTAGTTTCATTTTCGAACTTGCACCGAATTGCTTTTGAGTTTTGACGAGAGGGGAGTGAAGAAAAAACTCTTAAAACACCACTATGCTTAGAACAAACGTTCCTTTCAACATTGGATAATCTTGAGCACCGGCAAGCGATTTCGTGTTGTACTTAGTTCACAAATAGAGTTCATGTAGAGTGTCTACATCTTCAAGTCCATACAAAGAATTACAAGTGCAAAAGAAAGAAACAACGAGAAATAAAAAGCAACCGCAATAGTAGGACAGGGGAGACTGAAGGAATGCAGACGCAACCCCCAAAAAGAGTAACTCCGTACCCTCAAAATGAAAAATTTAGAACAGATGACTTCACTCTCTGTACAAACACCAAAAGAATGTCACGTATTCTTTTCACTATCTTCTCAAGCCACGCTGTGAATCACCTCCCTTGCACATCCTCCCAGCCACATCTCTCCAGTTTACAAAGCTTACCTGTGTTGCCCCTAGGAACTTTTGAGTGACAGAGACTGCAAACATTCCCCAAATTCTTCAAAGCAGAATGTATCAAAAGAAAACCTCCATCTACCAGGGATGCTGTGGGGATCGCTGCCTTCCAGAACTCTATGTACACAGCGGTAGACAAAAAGCAGGATGTGGGATGACCGTGTCTCTCTCTATAGGCTTTACTTTATCAAGAGGGATGTGAATTCCTTTGAATCATCTAAATTCGCTGACTCTATCAATGACATCCAAGGCCTTTTGCTTATCGATAACAAAATCAATAACCGGAATTCCTGAAGAGAGCCGTTTCAATGGAAGTGACTCCTTACTCTCCCTAGCTGGGAAATGATTGCTACTCTTGCTCAGTCTGTCGTGCTTCTTTAGCCTAGTCTTGAAGGAGTCGAAATCCTGGCTCTTACTGATTCCCAACCGTCGTTTTCTCTTACTTATGTCTTGTAACATCTTTAAGTCTTCAGAGTTCAGTAAAGGCAAGCAGGTTTTGGCAGACTCATCTTTAACCTCATTGCTGGATTTCTCCAGTGACATGTGGTTCGGGGATTTAATGGGAGACCTCATGCCACCAGTGTTTGCAGAGTTCTTTGATTTACTAACCAAATGGTGGAGCCACAAAAGTTGTTCAAGGATATAGGTCTCAGTTTTATCCTTATCTGCATGGTGGAGCGTCTCGATGCGAATCACGTCTATAGGTCCCGTTGGCTTCCTGTTTACCTCAGACCTGCAATAAGACATGACATCATCTATGTTTGGCATGAAGTTACCACTATGGGGTTCTTTTTTTTCACTTTTGTGGTGGTGGTGGTGGTTGGGTGGAAGGGGAGGTTAAGAAATACAGAAAGTGCTGACAAGTTTAACTGACCCAGTATTTGCCCATTCACCAACCCATCCGAAACCATGATGAGCTCTGCTCCAATTAGAAAAAAAGACAGAAATATCAGAAGAAACGAAGGCAAGCTTGAAAGCATTTGAGGTCGGTAGTGGAGATATACTAGCCATCTTACTTAGCTGTGTTTGTGGCAATTGGAACAAGCCACTGCAGAGTCTTCTCCATCTCAGCTTTGATGTCTGCAACAGAGAGCTGTACAGAGACAAGTTATAAGGTTATATGGAGCCTTCTCAAAGCATTAATGAATCAGCGGAAGAAGCTTGAGAAATAGACTTCGAATTTACTATTTTGGATCGATGGAAAGTAGAATGCGTTCAGTTTCTTGAACGAGAAAAAAATGATTATGAGATAATACCTCTTCTTTGACATGAAAAGAATGAAGTCTGGAGCGCAAAGCCGACTTTATACTAGGTGGCAAACTCTGATACAAAGAATCCCTCAGACTGGACGGCATAGAGCTGGATCGAGCTACCTGATTGGATCAAAGTATGCTCTGTAAATAGCCTCAAATATGCGATCTACACTTGTCATAGTTTAATTGATAATTTCAAAGAATATTGCATCTTTCTCAGCCAATACTCCAGATTAACACAGTTTAAGGCAAACGTAGCAATTTCATAAACTTTCTTCCAAAGACAGTGAGATCATAGAGCTTGGACGACCTGCTCCATTGACTCACATTCAAGCCACAACAACCTGGCAGCAAGGGATTCTACTTCATCTTTGAAATGAAGTTCACCTATGTTTCACTTTGATAAACAGATAAGCACAATATACTAGAACCAATTTCATCATATTTCTTCAAAAACTTAGAAGTTTGACTATCCTAAAACTTGCTACACTTGCTGTTAACTTAAGTTTATTTGTTTTTCTATTCTGACAACAGCTTTGCTAACAATATGTCAAGAACCGTGCATAAAGCATTTAAACAGAAAACGGTGAGTACATGGCCATAAGTCTAATGATTTCCTGGAACCGACTGTTATGCAATCCTTAATTGGGAAAAATTACCAATTGAAAATTTGAAGTAGTTACAGGTGGCGCCGACAAATATTTGAAGACCAGAAATTTTAAAAGGCAAAATCAAATATGAATCTGAATGAATGAATGAAAAAGACTTCTTGTTCTACTGGATAACCACAGAATGAACAAGATGTATCTTTTCTGCCAAAGAAAATGTTGCTCTACCAAATACACAACTGACTTTTTTTCCGCATCTGCATCATTTACTGGATGAGCCTTATTTATCTAAGTTTTTGTCGTCTTGAACAATATTTCGCTGAAAAGAAGAAAATATCTTATTGATAACTTTCGCATATTCACTTTTATGTACACGTGTCATCAGCGCTAAGAATGCAAACTTTAGATGCCATCGAGAAACACCTTGCCACCTTCGACTTAAGTAACAACATTCAGACTAGATGCCACCAGACCTGGTCGCATATCAAAAGAAGAAAACTTACAAGAGTATCAATTTGGATGATAATATTTGCATAATGCAAAGACAGGCCAGCCGGTCCCAGTTTTTTAGTGCTCATGGATGGTTTTGCTGGTACATGAGCATCTGCAAAATGATGGATGGGAATATCATAAATACCACACTTTTACAGTCACGCAGAAAAGACACCCACGATATTTACTTTCCAACAAGAACAATACTAAATGCATGTCTGATCCAAAACTGAGCCACCAGAAACATCATTATTCATCAAAAGCGCTGTGGATAATTCTTCTGCTCCTACAGGTGTGGATCCATTGGAAGGTTTTAAGATATTTTTCTGCATCAAAATAAAATTTTCTCTTTGACAAAGTAGAACTTCATACGACATGAACTGTGCTAATGCTGCCCAAATTCTCGTTGTTGCAACTAAGCATCTATATACATCGTCTTGGCTAAAAAAGATGTTGATTTAACACCTGATAATTTGCACAAGAAATTGTTTTCCTAAGAGAGAAAAACAGGAGAGAAAGCCATGGAAGTAGGAAAAGAGAAAATGATCGACTCTGGAATAGTTTACAATGGGTGACCAGAGGAAAAAGGCTGACAAAAATAGCTTACCAATAGACAATGGCAACGAGTGCTGAGCTAAATTATACAAAATAAAGGGGAAAGTTTTTCTACAAGAGAATATTTACTCAGTTTTCGATTTACATACCAGCAGTCCCCAAAGTACCATGTATTTCCAGAAGCAGGAACTGAACGATATCAACAAGCTTTTCCATCACCTGCAAAACAATACTTGAGATTCTGAAAAACTGCATTTACTTCTCTCTCTACTATCCTCTGGAAATATGAGCATTTTTCTTATCATGGATAAGGATAAAAAGGAATCCCTATCTAGAATATATCCTTGTCTATTACTTGTTCAAAAGTCGAACGGTATTAAAGAAAGAGAAAGCATTTTCATCGGCCAGGTGTATGAATCTCCTGCCTTCCCCTCCAACAATCCAAGCCAACCAAAAACAAGTTATGCTGCTGAGTTCCAGTGAATTAGCAAGAATAGCAAGTTATGTCCATTCCAATAGCAGCAAAGCATTCTGGAAATCATTTAAAAGGTTCCGCTAAGGGAATTTCCAGAAGATGCCTGCACAACTCTAAGGTATGGCGAATTCAAAGGACGGATTTGCTCAAATAGAAAGTAAACTCATATTTCGTTGGAAGAAGGATACATCGCTCCCACATAGTAAAAATCTAGAGTTACCTCCTCCAAGCTTCTGGACCACAGCGACTTCTTTTTCAAATTTTTTACTTGCTTCTTTTGGCTCTTAAGTTCTCCTCTCAAA